AAGTCAAAAAATTGGCTAAGGCCTTTAACCGCCAAATCACCCCCCTGTGGTCGACATAGCCTACGCGACTAGGTGGAGAGCCTTGAAAAGTCAAAAAATTGGCTAAGATCCTTAACCACCAAATCGCCCCCTGCGGTTGACATAACCTACGCGGTTAGGTGGAGAGCCTTGGAAAAAAAAAATAAAAAAAAAAATTCGAAGAATTCTTGCCCACATCCCGAGCAAGTAGGAGATAACAAGGCTAAGCAAAAGTAAACACTAAAAAGGAAAAAACTAGCAAGGAAAACAACAACTAAGAAATGCTTCAGCTCGAAGGGGAGACATCCCCACTACCACCTTGTGATGAACGACCGAGTGATCTGGATGACTGAGCTACGCTCTCCTTCCCCTTGCGCTATGCGAGAAATCTATCCAAGCCGGAGGGGTCTATAGAAGGACGTTCGGCCATAATCCACTCCTTGGAGAGCTTAATTGATGCTGACATTGCCTTCCCCCCGTATGAGTTCAAAGCTTTAGCATGATCGGACGATGTCTTATACTGATCCACAGCCGCCTTGAGATCTCCAGCGTACTCATCTGAGGCCTTATACCTCTCAACCGCCTCTTTAGGAGCACGAGCCAAAACAGAGCGTAGATTGTCAATCTCCGTCTCTTGCTCACGAGCTCGAGCGTCCGACATCTCCAGAGATTTCCTCAAGGAGGATATTTTCTTCTTGTGGTGATGAGCTTCCTTCTTCTTTTCTTCAGTAAGAGTTTTCAGCTCTGAGACTAGGCGGCGATTCGACTCAGCGAGTCCGGTCTGGAAGGCCACCACCTAAAAAAAAAATGTATAAGGGGAAAAAGAGTGAAACCACGAGTTAAAGTCTAACTTAAAAGGCGAGATCCAACATAAAAAAAAAATCTCGAAATGAGAAACATACCCTCTGAAGGTAAACTGCCGCAGCCCTTTCTATGTCATCTGCGCTACGCCCTGCAATCGCTCTGGATCGAGCGGGGGTCACCAACGACTTAAGCACCCCCATCTCATGATAGCCCCGGGTGGGAGGAAACCCAAAGTTAGGAAGCGAGTCCTCGCGCTCACATCGCGCACGACTAGGAGCTCCCGGCCTAGGAGCTGGAACCACATCACGAGGCTCATCTAAAGGCTGAGAAGTCTCGTTGATCGTCTGAGACTTTCTCCCAAGGTCGGCCCCCCTCCTTCTCTTCGAAGGGATAGGCAAAGGATCCACTTCACCCTCCTGCCCCTGGTCAGGCATGGAGTCCATGACTCCTTCCAGATCAAGCTCGGCCCTGCACATGTAAGTTGAAATTAGTTAAACTCACAAGGTAGAGTACAAAAAAAGAGAGAGGGTGGGGGTGAATATGAAAGCTTACCATCAACGAGGGTAAGGCCCTCATCTCCTCCTGGCGGAGTCCTCAATACCTCATCAAGATCAAAGTCCATACCTGAAACAAACATCCAAGCTCATTAGTCTCGACGAGCTAAAGGTAAAAATAATAAATGAACGTGTGTGTATGCTATAAAAAAAAAGGGAAAAACAACATAAACGACCTACCGAATGGACGACTCATCCCCACTTTCAACATGTTCTTCATGGTTAGGACTGACCCTAAGTCAGGTGCAAAGGGCGGAACATCAACCAAGTCCTGGATTTGAGCTTCTAGAAAGGGAGTAGCTTCTACTTGGCTATTGAAGAGACGAATTTGGGGGTGCCGCCAGTTTGTGTTAAAAGAAAACTGACCCTTTGAAGGCCGGACGAAGAAAAATCGGGACTTCCATCCGCTATTCGAATTCCTAAACTTAGGGAATTGCATAGGTACCCTAGCGGTAAAATAGACAAAGGCATTACATTGAACTAGCTCATGCATTTCGAAGACACACCTGAAAAGATCCATGGAAGGTGAAATTCCCTTTTTGAGACAGACATACAGAAAATATAACGCTTTTCTCCATGCATTAGGATTAATTTGACTAGGAGTAAGGTGGAACTCGTTGAAAATCGACACAAAAAAGGGATGAATGGGGAACCGAAAACCCCCGTCCATAACATCCTTGTACATGACTGTCTCACGGGGGTCGGACCCGGGGAGCCTTTCTTTAGGACCAGGGGCTCTATAACGTAATCATCAACCCGGTCATACTTTCCTAGACATTTTTCTAACTTAAGTGGCGAATTGTAGAGACTATAACTTTTTGGGATATCTAGGGGGACAACCTCACCGGCCGAGTCGCGCCCAATTTCCAAATTTTGGCCTGGAGATTTAGAAGAACCAATGTGTCTCTTTGGGAGATTTGGAACAAATGGCTGAGAGTCAATTGAATGAGTTTCACTATCACTATCATAAAAGGGATTTGCCGGATGAAGGGGGCGAGTCACTACAAGGGCGGATCGAAGGACCGGACAAACCACGAGAATTAATGGATGGCGGGAAACGGCCAGCCTTCGGGCTGGTCGAGCAACCAGCCCCGCTGGCCGGCGATCGACCCCCCGTGGGTCAGTCGGACTCCCTTCGGCACCCTCCGACGAAGGTCCGGTCGAATCACTACACCCCCATCACTTTTTTCATTGGAAGGAGAAGAAATGATAGTTTTATACATGACAACAAAAATGATGAAGAGAAGAAATTTAAAGCAAGTCCTTGGATTTAAATAAGGAGAGGAAATTACCTTAGAAGAGAGGAAGCCTAGGAGGTTGAGAAAAGATGAAAGTGATTTTCTAGAATGAGAATTACCCCCCTTTTATAACACTAGAATTCAAATTTTTTGGGGGGGAATTGGAGGGAAATCTCCCTCCAATATTAAGGCCATTAGTGAGGATCCATGTGTACAGTAGAATTGCCACTCGATCGTCTTTATATAGTTCGATTCGCTAATACGAACTATTCATTTCTCTTTATTAAAAAAAAAATTTCAAACCAACCTAAAATTGCTACCCCTTGCCGAAAACATCGACAAGGGATAGAGGGGCTAATGATATAGGTTGGTAGAAGTAGACACCCTCAAGGACAAGCAAGGCAGATCACGGCACACCGATGCAACGCCATCGACCCTCATAGGGCGCTCTACCACGACCCCCAAAGGGCGTTCTACCATTACACCCAGGGAGCGCTCTACCACTACGTCTAGGGAGTGCTCTACCACAACCCCCAAAGGGCGCTCTACCGCTATCCCAAGAAATCATTCTACCGCTAAGCGAAATCCTCAACGGGAATGATATCCCTTGTCCAAACACTTAACCATAAAACTTTTAATGAATCGACAAGGTTACATGGCCACTGATACAGGTACAATCTTCAGACGGAAAGTTAAGGACTCATCACTCAGAACGTGGGTGTAGTGGGAATACCATCGTGGGACACGTGGCACCACAATCGCCCAGCGGTTACCTAGTGCCTAATATCTATAAATACCCCCGGATGAGACACAGGTAAGGGATGATTTTTTTGAGCTCCCATTCTCGTTTTTAGCCATCTGATTTTCAAATATATTCTTTCTAAGTCTGAAAACTAATTCTCACACCGGAGGTAAAACGGGGGAGAAAGCCCCGCCTTCGTTTTTCAGGTCACACACACTTGACGGAGTAGTCGGAACGCCAAACGCCACCAGGCAGATAGAAGGGTATTGTTCCACAACCATTTCACTGTGGAACGTAACCAATCTGTGGATTTTGTCAGATCAGTGTAGGGATAACAGACAAGAAATGTACTGACTATATAGATTGACGCTAACAGGTCTGCACAGTTTAATAGGCTGGAGTAGGATAGCGTGAAGAACACATCACAAGTTGGCGTGGATGAACTGATTGGAAATTATCAGGTTGGAAAGCAGGCCGAACATACTGATGGTCCGTTTATTGATGTTGTTAGCAAGAAGAAAAGCTGCAAATAAGGGGCATAACACTCCAATTCGAATTTGAATTGTGACTAATGACAACGCTCATTTGGCTAAATCTGGGGCAGTATGTTCCTCTAATGTGCATGGTATGATTGCTAAGACTGTAAGTAATGATAAACTTAGAGAGAAGCTTGTGGAGTAGAAAAAGAATGTGACGAGTAAAGATAAGAAGGGTGTTACCCTTGCTTCAACATCATGAAGATTGGAACTTGAAACATTAAGGGCCTGAACCGGCCCCTTAAACAAAATGGGGTTCAGAGCTTCATAAAGCAACACGACAATCGTAAGAGAGTTGACTATCGATGCCTCCTAAAAATTGACCTTAGGAAGGCATATGATTCGACGGATTTAAGCTTTCTCAAAAGTGTGCTTCATGAATTGGAATTTCCTAATAAATTCATTGATTTGGTGATGGAATGTATTACCACACTAACGTATTCTATTGCTCTTAATGGTTGTCTTCATGGATTTATTAAAGGAAAAATGGGGCTTCAACAAGGAGACCCTCTCTCTCCAGTTTTATTTGTGACTTGCCTTGAATATTTCTCGAACATTTTGAAATGTGCAATTGAGAATAGTGAGTACAATTTTCATCCTAAATGAGGTTCATTAAAGATTACTAATTTGGCTTTTGCGGATGATTTGATGCTATTCTCTAGAGGAGATGAAATTTCGATGGGCATCTTGATGGATTGTTTATCTAAAGTTGGAGACATGTCAAGTCTTAGGATGAATGTTTCCAAATCTAGCTTGTACACAATGGGTGTGCATGGGCAAGAGTTTGAAAATATCTATGGCTTCACTAACATGACTAAAGGATCTATGCCTTTTAGATACTTGGGTATTCCACTTGCGGTGCAAAGGCTTAAAATTAGCTCTTATGATACTTTTCTCAACAAAATATTAGCCTAGACTTGTGCTTGGTCTAGAACATTATGCGGGAAGAGTGAATGTTGTTGGCTTTCCATCTTTCCTATTCTAGCTACAGTTATTTCTAGGGTGATTTGCCTATGTCGAAACTTCCTTTGGGGGTCTAAGAAACCATTGGTCGCTTGGAACAACATTTGCTTACCGAAAAGATGAGGGAGGACTTGGCTTCGAGGATATGAAATGCTGGAATTCAGTACTACTGTCAAAGGCACTTTGGAATATTCATAGGAAGAAAGACACAATTTGGGTCAAGTGGATTAACCACATGTACTTAAGGAGGACAGACATTTGGGAATGCCAACCAACAAAGGGGACTCGCCTCTCATTAATAGGCTGCTGGAAATTAGAAATCAACTCATTGAAATTGACTGGAACACTCAGTCAGTTGCAGACAGATTACTTGAATGGACAAAAGCGAGCTGTTTTAGCGTACACGTGGCATATGATTTTTTCAGAAAGGCTAGGAGAGCCTGGACTGCTGAAGTATGAAAACCATACATCATGCTTAAAAACTCTTTCATCCTTTTGCTGGAAGCACAATCCAAATTGCTCACCAAAGACAGATTACCGCATCTCAATATTGATCCCACTTGTGTTTTTTATACTGCATATGAGGAAACTTGCAAACATCTATTTTTTGAATGTCCTATTTCCTCGCTTGTTTGGAATAATATAAAGGATTGGTTGGGCTTTAGGAGAGCAATGTCTATTATTGCTAGTGCATTAAAGTGGATCAAGAAGGAGGTTAAAGTGACTTCTTAGCAAAGCAAGGTCAAGAGGATTGCATTAGCGAGCATCGTCTACTTCATTTGGACGACAAGAAATAGGAGGATTTTTGAGGACTTAAGACCCAATATTGATAGCATAGTTAGAGAAATCAAAACACACGTATACTAAATTATGTTCTCTTTATATCCGAATGTTTTGATTCATTTTGAGTCGTTAGTGATGGGTCTTTAATCTATATTATTTGTACATCTTTTTCTCTTTTGTTTGCCCGGAGTAGTGGTATAACATACTTGATTTTTGTCTTGCTTGAGTATGTCCAAAATACTTGTATAGCAAACATTGACTTTTTTTTCTCTCTATGGTGGGAAGGGAAGTCCTAGAGTTTAAGCGGATGCTCAATCGATAGGAGGATTCCCCATTGAGGATTTTTAGTAAGAAACGGGAATTCTCTTTCAAGTCCATGATGGAGTATAGTATGTGGATCATATCAAGCAGGGCATAAAATGAGTTGGCTGATCAGGTTTTGATCTATCGTAATTACATTTACTGATAAAAGAAAAAAAAATTGAGACAATGATTGAAAACAATTTTCCTTTAATATTTCATTTTCATCCATTTCTTTTGTCTACCAATAATATTTTGTGTTCATCCCTTTTTCCTCCATCAAACATATGCTATATAAAACATTTGAAAATGAAGATACTCGTAATTATTCATCTGGATATTTTACACTAATTCATTAATCTTGGTATTCGGAGCAATTTTTTTAGTTTAATAGAAATAGACACTTTTATAACAAAATAAAAAGGTTAGTACTCTCTTTTTAGAAAAGTAAATTTTAATAGTAAAAAATAAATTTAAAGTATATTTAATAAGATAAGTAACATGAACATGAATTTAAATTCTACTCAAGCACGAATATGCTATTGGTTTGTAATCTCCACTAATATTTTATGATTTTGCCCCTGTATGATAGCCACTATTTTGAAGAAATAATGTTTTGAATTTATATGTAAAATATTTTACTGCATTGATGTTGGTTGAAAATGAATATGTCAATTAAGGGTATATAAATATATAACTTCATTCCTTCTTATTTTAGAATGTTGAAATGATTGTGGGAACAATACAACTCTTCCTAGTCATTGTTACCATTATTTATTCAACCAACCTACATGTACAGGGAAATTTTTTATAGAAGTCTTACAAATAACATACAACAGTGTGGCGGGTGGTTTATTTTTTGCAATAAAATATTCGTATGGAGCCCACCCCATGTGAGAGCCCTGTAAACCATCTTTAAATTTTTTCTGTACACAGGGTATAATACTGATTTATTTGTCAAATTTCGTAATATTTTGAGACGCACTTTTCAAAAATTATTATTGTTCGTTGTATAATTTTTTTAACAATAATATTCACCACCACACATTCATTCAATAAAATATTTTATACACAAATCAATAAACTTTCTTTAAATTTTGACTACATATTCTAAAAAAAAAATGCTATTTAAAACTCTATAATTTTTCCCATAATGGGAGACGAACAGACTCATAATTTCTCAAAGTTTACTTTTCATAATATATTCTCTTTGTCATTAAAAAGTAAATTTATATTTCTCATTTTATCCTTTTATATTATTTTTAAATTTTTTATTACATTTTATTCAAATTTTAAGATATCAATTCTTTCTTAATTTAGGAAAGGCATAATACTAGTTCCATTTAGGTAATCAAAGTGAGGATGGATAAAAAGGTTCCTCCAATCTTTTTATTTTATAATATAATTTTAATACATTTTTAAAATTATTAAATAATTAATCGAGTATGACAGATAGAGTTATTTTAACTTCATTCATCTCACTCTTCCGATCCTACTTCTCAAAAACTCACTAATGAGATGAGGATTGCCTCGATCTCTTTCATCCATAAAAATAATTAACATATCGTTAGAAGCAATAAATAGTTAAATTTATATTTTAGAATAACTTAATAAAATTAATTGAAAATTCATTATTTATTACATGTATTTAGTATAATAACATATTTTCTCGTATTTTTATTTGTTGGAAAACTTAAAAAATATTATCATAATATAAAGAATCTTCCTAAAACTTTCACAATCATCATTTATGAGTTTATAGGGCAGGGACAACTATAATAAGACTAAATACTAAGCCTACTCTTATAAATCATAAAGTCGCCTTTTATTCAAGCGTTTCAAAGGACTACAAGTATCACTTATTACCATTCTTTTTTATTATTTATAATTTTATCTGAACATAAACACTTCCTAGACATACTTTAATTTACTCTATATTTATAGAAAGTTAAGGTTCAACTTTTTACATAACAATATTTTGAGGACTGGCAATGTAATGTTCGATATCGAATTTTAAATAATAGTTTTTGTTGTTACTTTTGTACGAAAATTAATAAGTAAACATAGAATCTGCTTGTAGATCTCCGTCAGTAGAGAAAAGGTAAAGGAATAAAGCTTCTCAAACAGGTTCATTGACCAACAAAATTGACAGAGTTTTAAAAATGCTTACGTGGCAAAGGATACCAGGTGAATTTTTGGAGGGAATAATAAAAAGAAAAAAAACCCAGTGAGTGAACCGTGAGGCAGAGAGATAATTGGGGATCTAGCCTTAATTGGAAAATACACCCACATAAGGAAAGTGAAGCTCCCAACCCTTCGAACAGAGATTCGATCCCGACGACAATTTTCCCAGGTAGGTGGCACTACAGTGAAGATACGGTTGTTGCTGGGAGCATTATTTCGTCGGTTGCTATCTCCATCGAACTTTCACGTTTTCGAAGACGATTACATTCCGTCGTCCTTTTCCATCTCGCTCCCCAAACGTATAAGTTTCTTGGTTGCCTTAATTGGAGAATACACCCACATACGGAAAGTGAAGCTCCCAACCCTTCGAACAAAGATCCGATCCCGACGACAATTTTCCCAGGTAGGTGGTACTACAACAAAGATACGATTGTTGCTGGGAGCATTTCGTCAGTTGCCATCTCCGGCAAACTTTCACATTTTTTAAGACGGTTACATTCCATCGTCCTTCTCCATCTTGCTCCCCAAATGTGCATGTTTCTTTGTACGATTGTTGTTGGAAGCATTATTTCGTCAGTTGCCATCTCTGTCGAACTTTCATGTTTTCGAAGACGGTTGCATTCCATCTTCCTTCTCCATCTTGCACCCCAAACGTCTAAGCTTCTTTGTTTGATTTTTCAAATTTTAACTTTCTTCATTTGGAAAGATGATAAATGGCGGTCTCGTTACCTTGAAGATTTTTAATTACTGTCCATGTGCAGATTTACCAATTTTTAACCTTCTTCATTCGGAAAAGCCATCTCCTTGCCGTCTTCGATCAAAGATTGTTGTTTAAAGGGCCTTTGATTATGGTCAGGTATTCCTTTTTTTTTTGTCTTTTCTCTACAATCATATGACTGCCACACATTTTATGCAACGTAGTTTAACCTCAAATGTACGATGTCAAATTTTGTAATATAGTGATAGAATTTAAGTATCGAATCCACAGGGATTGATGTTTGATTCTATCGAATACTATAATTATTTTAACTTCTACTTTATTCAGAAAATCAATTTTTGACTTGATGTGTTTCATGATAAATTAATATTATGTGATCTAAATGGCAATCCAAACAACTTAATGTGAAATATATGAAAATAATCAATGCAAAGAAGTCTAGAGAATGATTTCACCGTCCTATCAGCAATGTTTTTCAATCTCTATGGTTATTTCTCTAAATTTTTCTCAATTTCGCATTTTCTTTCTCGAGTGCCGAATAGAATTTATTTCTATACTCTAACCCCAATATCTCTATTTCAGATTAGATCTATAAAAATTATTAAGTCCTTGGTTCTTGATTTGAAATAAGCCTCAAAAAATTCGTACTTTCTCTGGAAATCTAGGTTATGTTATTCGTAGTTCAAGATTAAATCTCCCTCTCTCGAGTGCTAAAATTCAATAAATCAATCATTCAACCATTGATCAGGTGATTGAAAGCACTAAGCACGAATAACACTAATAAATGCTGAAAAATTAAAGAAATACGATATCAACATCCAAACATTGTATCAGGTTGGGTTACATCAACCCCAGATCTAAGATTTAGTTCATAATTGATGAAAATAACATTCTAAAATACAAAATAATGAGCATGGAGAAGAAGGGATTAGGGAAAACTCAGTTGATGCTTCAAATCTTCTCCCAATGTTTGTAGATCTTCTTCTTTGAAAAGCTTTTTCTCTTATTTTTGCTTTGAGTCTTCTTTCCTCTTTGATTTCTCGAAAATCCAACCCCCTTTTCTAGGTCTTTTTCGTAGGTACTTATAGTCTTTTAGGTTTTCAAGATGTATCAAGTTAGGCCGGGTCGAGAGTTCCCAAAAAATATGAAGTTTTTGCATCTCGTGAGTCGGTGCCAAGCCGCGATCTTCTTTTCTGCCTGCGCTGCGGCTCCCAGGCTGGGTTGAGAGTTCCAAAAAAAATATGAAGCTTTTGCCTCTAATGAGTTGCCACCATGGCACTAGGCCGCGATCTTCTTTTTAAGCTTCTTGTTTCTTCAATGCTCATGGGCGCCGCGGCGCCCAACTCTCTGCTATTTTTCTTCTTTTCTTGGGCGCCCAATTTCAAAACCACGATGCCCATGGAACTGTTTCTCCTTGCTTTATTTATTATCTAAGCCTCGTAGCCATATCATTCTCCTTCAATTTTCTCCAATTCATAATCGAATTTTATAATCATCATTATAACTCCATTACAACTCCAAAATGTGGTATTTTCTCGAAAGTTGTCCAAAACTACAAAACAACACGAACATACACATCAAAACGTTCAAATTTGCTCAAGAACAAACTAAAAACCGTGATTATAAGTGTTAGTTTAATGAGTGAATTGCACTCATCAGTGACGTAGGCTACATTCTTGCTTGAATATTGTCTATTAAGGTTGCTTGTTCCTTGTTCCGTGACTTAGTTCATGAAGTGACTTGGTAAGGTTGCTTGTTCTCAAATATTGCCTATTAAGGATATATTTTTTGTTGGACATTTGGTCTATATGGTTGATTTGGGGAGTTAGTTGAACTTAAAAATTCATGTTCTTCATGCTATTCGAAAGAGATTCAGTATGCTTGATTTGAGGAGTCAGTTGAACAAAAAAATTGAGGTACTTCATAGTAATTGATAGAGGTTCACATAAAATAACTAATGATTATTTGCAATTAATAATGTAGTGAAAATGTCGTTTAAGATTAGTTTATTTGTTTTGCCTATCTTAGTGTTATTATGGAATCTTGAATGTGATTCCTTATGTTGTCGTAGATACCAAAATATGGACGAAGTGCAAATCAGGCATGATGAGGTTTCGATGGAATCTCTTGATGAGAATGTTACGAACTCCGTTAACATATTAGAAGGTGAACCCTCAGTTGGAGATGGTTTGATTGTGCAATTTAAGGATTTACAAGAAATGTTTAAATGTATTCCTTTTTTCTATAATGAACTAATTTGTAACTATGATTAAATATATTTCTTTTTTTTCATTGTTATAGGTTTTTGAAGTCCCTCCAAGAACGTTTGCTGAAGGAAGTAAAAGGAGAGATTGTTCGAGGAGGCAGCCCCAGTTATCACTTGCAGTGGGATTGTGTTAATTTTGTCATACATGCAAATGTTATTTCAGTTACAGTATTTTGTACTTGCAATTTAACCGAATATGAATTTATCTCATACGATTTTTAGGCTTCAATATTTTAGTTAATTTTGTCGGATACTTATCATATTTGTATTTCCATTTCAATTTGATCTCCTATTTCTATTTTACTTCTGTATTTTATGCTCATTACATAAATTCCGAATGTAAATATGAATACTGCATTAGGAATACTATGTAGGAGTTAGCGGTTAAAACTAAATCCTTTTTTACAATTGGATGGTTAGATTATGTTACCACCCTTCATGTTTTTTACTTCTTTTAAAGTAAATATCGGGGTTTAGGGAATGGATTGTGACTTCTGCTCTGTAAATTATTTTAGTTTGAAGCTTCTATTGTGGATTTCAGTATTTTAGTTTCATATGGTTTCCTGTGACATATTGAAATTGCCAAATATTACTTTCACACAAACATCACTGTGACATATAGAATTTGCAAAATATTACTTTCACAAGAATTGAAGCTTCACTGTGAATCTGATATTACAAAAATGCAAGCAAGTATAAAGATTCACATGAACGAGTAAGAAATTTTAAAGTAAACATGTCATTAAAATTGCTGCCTATGGGAAACATGCAAAATTAGATCGCTACATAGCTTCCATTAGTTCACAAATTCTTTTTAACATAGAGCTTAAAGTACATAAAAATGCTCCGTATACAAAAGTTATATCACAACCTGAGAGTTGAGGTTTATCTAATAATCAGATTAACCCTTCCTTTTTGCATTCGCTTCCACACTACCATTTGCCTTGCATATTGTCACGTTCACCGAAATTTGTAGGTCTTCTTCATTGAGGAGGCGAACTCGAGTTTGGAATGTGTGTGACATTTCTTCAACAATCGGCAAGAAGTGCCCCTTCACTCTACAACTATGACAGATACCAAAATTCCTTCCGCGCATTCTACAATGGAAATAAACCACTTCATGTTTTTTACTTACTTCTTTTAAAGTAAATATCGGGGTTTAGGGAATGTATTGTGACTTCTGTTCTGTACATTATTTTAGTTTGAAGCTTCTATTGTGGATTTCATTATTTTAGTTTCATATGGTTTCCTGTGACATATTGAAATTGCCAAATATTACTTTCACTCAAACATCACTGTGACATATATAATCTGCAAAATATTACTTTCACAAGAATGGAAGCGTTACTGTGAATCTGATATTACAAAAATGCAAGCAAGTATAAAGATTCACATGAACGAGTAAGAAATTTTAAAGTAAACATGTCATTACAACTGTTGCTTATGGGAAACATGCAAATTCAGATCGCTACATAGCTTCCATTAGTTCACAAATTCTTTTAACATAGAGCTTAAAGTACATGAAAATGCTCCATATACAAAAGTTATGTCACAACCTGAGAGTTGAGGTTTATCTAATAATCAGATCGACCCTTCCTTTTTACATTCGCTTCCACACTACCATTTGCCTTGCATATTGTCATGTACACCGGAATTTGTAGGTCTTCTTCATTGAGGAGGCGAACTCGAGTTTGGAATGTGTGTGACATTTCTTCAACAATCGGCAAGAAGTGCCCCTTCGCTATACAACTATGACAGATACCAAAATTCCTTCCGCGCATCCTATAATGGAAATAAATCACTTCAGGTTTTTTACTTACTTCTTTTAAAGTAAATATCGGGGTTTAGTGAATGGATTGTGACTTCTGTTCTATACATTATTTTAGTTTGAAGCTTCTATTGTGGATTTCAGTATTTTAGTTTCATATGGTTTCCTGTGACATTGAAATTGCCAAATACTACTTTCACACAAACATCACTGTGACATATAGAATCTGCAAAATATTACTTTCACAAGAATGGAAGCTTCACTGTGAATCTGATATTACAAAAATGCAAACAAGTATAAAGATTCACATGAACGAGTAAGAAATTTTAAAGTAAACATGTCATTACAACTGCTGCCTATGGGAAACATGCAAATTTCAATCGCTACATAGCTTTCATTAGTTCACAAATTCTTTTAACATAGAGCTTAAAGTACATAAAAATGCTCCATATACAAAAGTTATGTCACAACTTGAGAGTTGAGGTTTATCTAATAATCAGATCAACCCTTCCTTTTTGCATTCGCTTCCACACTACCATTTACCTTGCATATTGTCACGTTCACCGAAATTTGTAGGTCTTCTTCATTGAGGAGGCGAACTCGAGTTTGGAATGTGTGTGACATTTCTTCAACAATCGGCAAGAAGTGCCCCTTCGCTCTACAAATATGACAGATACCAAAATTCCTTCCGCGCATTCTACAATGGAAATAAACCACTTCAGGTTTTTTACTTACTTCTTTTAAAGTAAATATCGGGTTTAGGGAATGGATTGTGACTTTTGTTCTGCAAATTATTTTAGTTTGAAGCTTCTATTGTGGATTTCGTTATTTTAGTTTCATATGGTTTCCTGTGACATTGAAATTGCCAAATATTAATTTCACACAAACATCACTGTGACATAAAATCCGCAAAATATTACTTTCACATGAATGGAAGCTTCACTGTGAATCTGATATTACAAAAATGCAAGCAAGTATAAAGATTCACATGAACGAGTAAGAAATTTTAAAGTAAACATGTCATTAGAACTACTGCTTATGGGAAATATGCAAATTCAGATCGATACATAGCTTCCATTAGTTCACAAATTCTTTTAACATAGAGCTTAAAGTACATGAAAATGCTTCATATACAAAAGTTATGTCACAACCTGAGAGTTGAGGTTTATCTAATAATCAGATCAACCCTTCCCTTTTGCATTCGCTTCCAAACTTCCATTTGTCTTGCATATTGTCACGTACACCGAAATTTGTAATTCTTCTTCATCGAGGAGGTGAACTCAAGTTTGGAATGTGTGTGACATTTCTTCAACAATCGGCAAGAAGTGCCCCTTCGCTCTACAACTATGATAGATACCAAAATTCCTTCCGCACATTCTACAACGGAAATAAACCACTTCAGGTTTTTTACTTACTTCTTTTAAAGTAAATATCAGGGTTTAGGGAATGGATTGTGACTTCTGTTTTGTAAATTATTTTAGTTTGAAGCTTCTATTGTGGATTTCATTATTTTAGTTTCATATGGTTTCCTGTGACATTGAAATTGCCAAATATTAATTTCACACAAACATCATTGTGACATATAAAATTTGCAAAATATTACTTTCACACGAATGGAAGCTTCACTGTGAATCTGATATTACAAAAATGCAAGCAAGTATAAAGATTCACATGAAGAAGTAAGAAATTTTAAAGTAAACATGTCATTACAACCGCTGCCTATGGGAAACATGCAAATTCATATCGCTACATAGCTTCCATTAGTTCACAAATTCTTTTAACATAGAGCTTAAAGTACATGAAAATGCTCCATATACAAAAGTTATGTCACAACCTGAGAGTTGAGGTTTATCTAATAATCAGATCGACCCTTCCTTTTTACATTCGCTTCCACACTACCATTTGCCTTGCATATTGTCACGTACACCGGAATTTGTAGGTCTTCTTCATTGAGGAGGCGAACTCAAGTTTGGAATGTATGTGACATTTCTTCAACAATCGGCAAGAAGTGCCCCTTCGCTCTACAACTATGACAGATACCAAAATTCCTTCCGCGCATCCTACAATGGAAATAAACCACATAAAAAACAAAAATTAACTATAGTTTTCTTCCATTTTTTCAATTGACAATTGCATAACAACCACCTACATATTCGTTATACTGATCAGCTAGATTCAAATTAATAACAACAAATTTCAAACACATCAACGAACACATCATGAACTCCCTTCATGCAGGAACCTAATAAAATGTAATTAGCAAGTGACTCCAGCCATGTAGTGCATAGCTCCGTAATTCAACAGGTTCATCGCTACATTAGTGGTTTTGTAGACTTCGTAGGATCGGATATTTACTCACAGCCATTAAAATGTCTGGATAGAAGATCGTAAAGAGAGCCGAAAATTTTGTAGCAAGATAAATCTAAGGCTAGTCTGACAGTGACAAAGAACAAGTAAATTAACCACATGACTTGAATTTGAACGTAAGTTAACCTTAACTGACTCCCAAATGGCGTGAGGTAGAGAGATACCTGTTGTCTAATTTCACTGGAGATTGGAGATGGTCAAGCTTCTGTTGTTTTCGATTTGTTGTACAGAACAAATTTTCCATAAATGACTTGCTAAACCAGATGAACAATTGCAAAACAGTAAAAAAAATAGAATATCATTGCCAGAAAATGAATTGCACAGAATAAAGCAGAAGCATAAAGAATTTCAGGATGATCGAGGCGAGAACTAGGCTCTCTGTCCTTAAGACATTTTTACCCCGTCACATGGTGCTTACGGTATGTGGTAAAGCGTCTCCCAAGATACAACGATCAGACATTTGCAGAAGCAGCACTTCGACTGCAAGATAACGAACCAGAACGGAAGTACTCTCTGCAGACTATTGCAGAGAAGAAGAGTATGTATGCAGAATGATTTCGTGATATTTCTGTGTGTTTTTTCAAAATTAAAAGCATGAGGATCATTCAAATAGAGGAGAGAGTTGACGATTGAACAGTTTTCATCCACCACTCACGCCCACTTAACGCACAGTTTTAGCAAATTGATGGGTCGGTTAATAAACTATCAAAGGGAGGGAATTAATTGAATTTAAAAAAAATAATTAATATTAACACAGGCCCACACCCACGACCCGACCGGTCAGTCGGACGGTGGTGGCGACGCGCGCGTGTGTGGCCTTTGGATTAGTTCAGACATTGTCTAAAACTCCCCCCTTTCAAAGACTATTGGTACCCCTTGGGGCCCAAACCAATATCCAAACTTGAAATTTATTAAGTGATTCAAGGTTATGTTTGCAACCTATGTGGGATTGGAATATTTTTCCAATTCTTTCCCATTTATTCCTCTTATTATTATCCAACTTTCAACCATAATTTCTCATTCATATTGAAGTGGTTTTTCACAATTAAATATTC